AAAGAAAGAAAGAAAGAAAGAAAGAAAGAAAGAAAGAAAGAAAGAAAGAAAAGGAAGGAAAGAAAGGAAGGGATGGAGGGAAGGGATGGAGGGAAGGAGGATGAATATGAAGCAATAGGAATCATCTCCAGCAATTTTACATATTTTTTAAAAAGAACAAATATTCCAAACACTCTACCAAAAAATGGGATTCTGTATTTTTACAGGATGGAATATGTGTAGGAATGGGAAATGCATAGTTTTACAGAATTTATCTTGAATTTTTTACTACCACAATTACTTTTATTTTTTAACCAAGTCTGTTCTGTTTCCAATTTGAACAAACATCACCAGTAAATTACCAAAGTATCCTGCAGCAAAGAAATTAAGTCTGTTTTTTTTTTTTAAAAAGAAGGTAAAAATCTTGGGCATTTGAACAGTGCACCCAGTACTTCAGGACTTAGCAATTTAGGCCCAGAACAAAGATGCAAAACTAAAGAGAAATATGACCAAGCTTCTGGCATCAGAATTGGCCCAATGTACTTTAGTGTTTGAACTGGGCAAAGTCAATGGAACATTACCTGGGAGAATAATGCACCGATATTTCAAGAGGATAATCTATGTGCAAATACAGTACCCATGCATTTCAATAACAGGTTGCACATTCTTCTCAGTCACAGTCTCATTCAGCGGCATTCAGAATCTGCTAAGTGAAAATGAAGACCAGAAAAAGAGATGCTTCTTACCTCAGAGGAAGTGGAGAGTGCATTCTCGATACCAAAGCTATTCTTGCATGGGGAGCTCTTGCTGATACTAAGTGAGTCACTGTTGCAGGCTAGAGGGGAAGAGAAAGAATCAAAAGGACATTCCACTTTGCCCCGAGCATCTTTTCAGCAAGGAGTCAGCACGGTACTAATTCAAAAGGTTTTTATCTTGATCACACTATATTATTCCGGGGTGGGGGTGGGGTGGGTGTTCTGTCTGGACTATCACTTTTAAAGTGTATTTGCTAATGATCTATTGTAGCTTTCTACATTGCAAAGCAGTTCAGAACAGAGGACACAATTCACAAAACATTTCAGTCATGACAACAACTCTAAAACCAAACCCATTAAAAGAGTACACAGCAAAAGTACGTTTAAAAAAAGAAACTGGCATCAACCATCCCTAGTGCTAATGATTCAGAAGGTTTTGTCAGATATCGACGCCTCCTTCATGAATCAAAAGCCACTACAGTTAGGTTTGCTTACTGTTAGGAGCTAGGATGTATTGGGTCTGGCTTGAGGGGCCATTGCTGGTGGTCACCATTTGGAAGGGAACAGAAAGCTGAACATTTAGAAGCTGCAGGCGCTCCTTTTTAGCTGCCAAAGTCATGATCTGCTCCTGAAGGCGCTGATTTTCTTTCTGTAGTGAATGAAGTGCCTTGAGCATCTCTACGACTACAGAAATTGGAAGCGGGAGAAGGAAAAGAGAGAAAGTTGACAATGGAAAAAGGAAGGATAACAATGTTAACACACTGTTAAAACATAGTACATATGAAACGGATTTACAAGAACATTTACAGTCATTAAATAGTCATGAGCTGAGCATCCGCAGTAATGGCCACCAGCTTTAAAATGACTGGCATGACTTGCCAATCAAAGTCCCAGTCCTTTTTAATGCATTGTAACACATATAAAAAGGAACATGGCTTCAATCACTCTAATGTGCTAAGACATGTTTTTGTGGCTTCTTTTTAGTAAGCAAAATTTATATATAACGTTATGTTAATTATACTTTCTATGCCATTATCTCAAAGTTTTTCCATTGCTAAAATTTACAAGAAAAATCCAATAAAGCATAACACGTTTCAATAAGGTTATATCAGAGCAAACGTAACAAATGTAATGTTAAGTCTAAACAAAATTAGATTATAATGGGATACTTACATATTTTATAGTCTAATTAACCTGACTACATGTACTTGCCTGTACAGTGTTTATATTTAAGGGTAAAATAAAATGAAAAGTCTGAAAAACTACAATCACACTAACCACACTAATTGAACAGAGTCCAAAGAGCTGCACCTTAAGTCTATCTCAATTGCTACAGGTTATTCTAGCTTTCAACAGCCTACAATGATTAAGCAGTTAAGGAGTAGCTTAATGCAATTAGAAATTTCTAAGCCAGTAAAGGCAGTATAAACTCCTTCTTATATTCCATCTATGAGTTTGGTCAACATTTTATGACTCAGTAGAGCCGTACATGGTAGCAGTCTCTACCTCTTTGATAGAAAGAAAGATAAGAAAATCAGAGAGACAGGACCACCACAGAGATGGATCACAGGGGTGAAGCCTGGGGCTACACTTTTGGACACTTTTCCATTTATTGATTAAATACATGACCAGAAGGTGTATCTGGAAGAAAGTACAATGATCAAAGTACGAGGATTTTTTTTATTCTGAAATCGAAACGTGTCCATTGGAAAAAAAATAATAGCATAGGATTTTCCCCTCCCTTTAAAATTACTATTTCAAAAAAAGAATTCAGAGAAAAGCATCTATAGTTTATCACAAGAGTGTGGGAAGATTTGAACTCATCTTCCCAGTCTACCTCTCTGATCCCAACCACAAACCTCCCATTAGGGTTAAACTACAAATCCCAGATCTCCACCTAGTGTCCATAATGATGAAGCATGATGGAAATTGTAGTAAAACTAATCAATGAGTCTTTTTTTCCCTATGATTGGCAGAAAACCTCCCAGATGGCAGAAAAGACTTGACTTATTAATGTTCACCTTCATAATTGGAAGAATGACCTTAAACTCTTTCCTTTAAGGACACATCTGTGTGGATGGCATCAAGTTATCATTTTCCTTCTAATGATGGAACAATTATGGGGAAAGCTGCCCCTTTGCAAAGATGAATGGATTTCCCAGCCAGCATGACTAGCTGAGGAATTCTGGGAGCTGAAGTCCACAAATCTTAAAAGTTGCCAAGATTGGAGACCCCTGCTGTAGAGGCTTACTTGAAAAAAGCTTTGCCTCTCTTTGGTCACCTTGGTCTTAACCACAAGGGTACAGTTGTGATCTGCAAGCTAAAAGTAGACTTCCAGTATACTTTCTGCAGAATTCAGAGCAACCTTGGAATAAGCAGGATCAAAATAATTTAGTTTTCAAAGGTTGGTGGGATTGTCTGCAGAGTTTTAGGATGCCTAATTTATTCCCTAGCCCCTCTAAGATCCCCTAACATTAGGCCTATTTTTTTGTCTTGGTGGAATTTGGGAAGGCTAAAAGTCCCTGCCTGCTCAATCCAGTGACACTCTTAGGTTGATCCACCATATCTGTTGCAGCCTTCATTGACAATTTAAAAAAATGTGGCCAAAGTCCAACAAGGATGTACACATCCTTGGCTTAACCCATTGACCCCTTCCACCACTCACTATTGACACCAGCTTCTCCGTTGCCCTGTTTCTCCAGGAGCTGCTCAATGTTTGGTGTGGCCTGGGGGACATTTTCCAGTTGTCCACTGCTAGTTGATACTGTCTGGTCAAAGAGAGTAGGGAGGCTACTGATGGGAGACCTGTTATAGTGCAGGACAAAGCATCATTAATAATCAACATACTTCTTGGTTTCATAATAGCTATTTGTCCTAGCTTTATGACTGGAAAGCCACAAAAGTTGGGGTCCAAGGCTGAGACACGGAAAAGCTAAATTCTGAGAATAAAGTATACAATGCAGATTCTACATGGGTTTTGCAGGTATTTTGTTACTGTCAGCCATAATAAAAAGCTACCGGTTTCCTGTTCTCCTGTCAATAATATCTTTAATTGTTGAGTATTTGAGGCTGCCTGGCTGCTTTATTTCAATTATCTCAGCCTATAAGCCTACAAATTTGGTGTCTTCTTTTAATTGGTATCTATGATTCTCCAGATGCTGCAATCTTCTCCAACAGCAAATTTTCTGGTTACAGAAGTAATAAAATATAGATAATTCCAGATACCAAGATGAATTTAGCTGACACTCCCTGTATGTGTATGTGTATGTGTGTGTTTGCATGTGTGATACAGAAAAGACAGAAACAACCACACCCAAAATTCAAGAATTCAAGGACAATAAAACTACAGACATCTTTTAGGAAAAATACATATAGCCATTTTGAATGTAACTAAAACTTTTAGTGTCATCACATATAACTTAGAACTAAAGACAAACTTTTATATGCAAAGAATTTGAAACCCAAGAGCACTATAATTGAACTGAAGATCTCACTGAAATCCCACCTCTGATTACCTCCAAATGTTCTTCATTCTAGCAACATAATTTAAGGTAAGAGTGGGGCATTTATCAAGCTATTTCAAACAATTAAGAATCAGAAATCTTTCCTATTCTACTGCAGATAATGCAAAGTTCCCCTAAATATTCAGGTGTATTATTTTCTCTCATCCTTGCAGTTCAGATGTTATTGGGTACACAGAAAGCAATGTGAACACAGCCTGATAAACAAGCCATAAAAGTGTTGAGCATACTAGTATCTCATATCCTTATGCCCTTATTTCACTAAACCCAGCACTTAATGATATGGTTATGATCTGACTGAACCAATTTTCTCCTGCCTCTGTTACCATATCTATAATATATATAATTATCCCAACCTTGTACCTGAGTGGTAACAGTATTTTTCTCCTTGTTGTCAATAACTGTACCAGTATTTATTTTCTTGCTTGTTTACTTATTCACTATCTGCCTCAAACATATGGTCAGTAATAACTTTAGGGGTGTTCAGAGCAGTGGTGGGATTCAGATTTTTTCACTACTGGTTCTGTGGGCGTAGCTTGGTGGGCGTGGCAGGGGAAGGGTACTGTAAAATCTCCAGTCAGAGGTGGTATTTGCCGGTACTCTGAACTACTCAAAATTTCCACTACTGGTTGTCCAGAACTGGTCAGAACCTGCTGGATCAGAGGCAGACACATGCACTATTCTGTCCTGGCACTGAACAGATTCTACCTCAGTCATTTCTCTCCTAGCCTTTGCTTTCTCTATTAGCATTTGTTTCCTGAATTTCTTCCATACCCATCATCTTCCCCTGTTTTGATACATCTCCAAGCTTTCAACAAGGTACAGGAGGAGGGAAGGGGAGGAGAGGGAAGGGAAGGGAGCAGGGGTGGGATTCAAATTTTTAACAACTGTGGGTGTGGCTTAGGTGGTTGGTGTGGCTTGTTGGTCATGTGACTAGGTGGACATGGCTTGATGCTCATGTGACTGGGTGGGTGTGGCCAACTCAACATCCCTCACATCAAGGCCCGCCTCTCCTCCCTTGGCCTCTCATGACTATGGGGATGCTGCAACAGTCATAAGTGTGAAAAATGGTCATAAGTCACTTTTTTCAGTGCCATTGTAACTTTGAATTGTCACTCCACACAAGCAAAGTAGCAGCAAAGGAGGGGAAAAAAAACTCCAGAGAAAGTCCTGAGACAGGAAGTCTAATCCTGCCAAGAATGTAATAAGGGTTAACAGTGAGGCAGTTTCTGTAAGCAACACCAGAATGTTTCCTTCCTGCCTTCCTTACAGGACTAGGCCAGTAATTTCTTCTAACAACCGGTTCTCCGAACTGCTCAGAACGTTAACAACTGGTTCTAGCGAATAGGTGCGAACCTGTAGAATCCCACCCCTGGAAGGGAGAGGTGGGGAGGGGAGGGGAAGAGAGATTGTGTGAAAATGTAAAGGGGAATTATTAACATTTCCTTTATTTATCATTTTTAGTCATTGCCTTCCAGAAATTAAACAAGTGGCTACTTAGCAACTAGTCCATTTCAGTTCTCCCACTTTACAGGCCTCCTAGTTACACAATCATGTTGGGTACACTCCTTCCTCTATCTATAGGGATATTTTTATCCTGGTTGTTCCTATGTTTCTTTATTTCATGTATACTAACTTGGGAGAGGCCCAGATGGGATGTTGGATAGGGATAGAAGACCAGATAAAGATCAACAGAGCTAAAGTGATGTTATCCATTACCAGCAGCATAAAATTCCTATGTATGTATCCTCTACAGCTCCTCTTCTAAATTACCATCAGATAATGGTACTCTGATTTTGCTTATGCAGTTAAGTTAAAGCCTACACAGTATTCATTTATAATATAAAGTACTGTATATGAATGCTATGAACTGGTGGAAAGTAATAGTATTGCCGGGATAAGATATTTAATTAACTGACTATTCTGATTAAAGAAAATACTTTGTTGAACTTTATTTCCACTTAGAAACTACTGTTGGACTTCCAGCTAGAAAATGAAAGAATTGAAAATTTAATTTTGGGATCTGAAGATTAGAACTATTTATGATTATAGAAATGTTATATATTATTATTGATTTTAGAGTAAGAGATTAATGTATTTTATATATGTATCTACTGAAGAAAATTGGAAATTATTCCTCCCCTCCTTTTTTCTTTCCTCCTTTCCTTTCCCTCTTTGAATTTCTGATTTTGCCTTATCCTTTGTATAGTAAGACTACAGAGTTAAGTCATCCTGCTTATCTCTGGTCTAAGCAGGCTTGTTTTCAGAACAGCTTCCCTGTAGAGTTTTTAAAGAGCAATAAACTTGCAGTCAAAACAAGTGAACTATTTGATGAAATGGGAAGGACTGCCTGATAAAATGTGAGAGGGGAGGATTTCCTGCTTTACTGTACTACTCACCCATTTGCCAGTTAATAGTTGGACTGCAAAAAGCTCCCAAAATGGAAGGAAAAAAAATAGTACAGCCTCAGAATTGCAGGAAAAAGGGGGCACCTCTCTACTCTCATATCTGCTGATTAAGCCATTGTCAGAATAGTTGGTGAAACACGTCCGCTTTTACTCACCTTGACATTGTTATGGGTTGCTGCTGGTTTAAGAGGGAAAGCATTACTTTGTAATAGCAAAAATGTCTCTAGCCTCTCTCAGTCATAGGCTGAGGACAAGAGGAAGGCAATGTCATGGGGATGAGGAAGAATAAAGAGATTGTTATTTGTAGCATGCTTAGATGCAAGTGAGAAAACCAGAATCTAACTGATGGAGGTTTTTCCTACTGGCTGGTGAATATGATGGCACAGGGTGATAACAAAAGTCAATAGGAGAAAATGAATCACCTTGCTTCGCTTACATGCATAAATCGAGACGTCACCATTACAAATACAGTACAGGCAGGATAGGAATCAGAAATGGGAAGAGCAGGTGCTTTGCTTTGTGCTTCCTCATTGCTTTTTACTGACTCTGGGTTGGATGGAGAACATTTAACTTAGAAAGGTTCTAAGCTAACAAGAGTCAGGCAAATGTCTATAGCACAGAAACAAGAATATTCAAGTGGCTGGGGATGATAGGAGTTGTAATCTAACATATGTGGTGGACAGGTGGCTAATGTGGAAAACCAGTTTTGTTTTTTAAAAGTAAACTGGTACTGTTTTTTCTACTCTCTAATCCAGGGGTGTCAAACTCAATTTCATTGAGGGCCATGACCTTGGGGGGGGGGCACAGTGGGCATGGACATGGCGGACATGGCGAGCTTGACGTCATTCATGTCGGGGTGCTTTTGGTGGCCTGAGTGATCTGCCAGCAAAAACAGGCTCGCGAGCTCTGTTTCTGACTGCAACAGCCTCCTGAAATCCTCTGCTAGTGAAAACAGCCCAGGAAGGTTGCACGCAGCTCTTGCGACCTCCATTTTCAGCTGCGATGGCCTCCTGCAACCCTCTGCCAGGGAAAACAGATTTCGGGAGGGATGCTTGCGGCCCTCCCGAGCTCCATTTTCACTGGCACTTTGCTGTTTCCAGGGCAGACCTGCAGGCCAGATCTAAGCACCCTGCAGGTCAGATCCGGCCCCCAGGCCTTGAATTTGACACCCCTGCTCTAGCCTGTCAGGTGAAACAGTCTGCCATCCTATCCTTGACTTTCCATTATTGCCTTCCATATATCCTTTTTGGTCAAATAAACTCACATGGAAGAAAGACTTTCTTGGGGTGATGACCCTCGGCAGCCAAAATTGCAGTCTTCTAAATCTGGTTCTGGAAATGGAAACACAAGGAGTGATTTTTTTCTTTTTGGTTACAATTCAGACAACTGTACTCCCTTCCTCTTTTGCAGTTCTTGCAAAAGGTTTATATAAACTTTTAGACATCTAGTGCCCTCTAGATGTATTAGACTTCAACTTCCATAATTTCCAGCCAGCATGGTCACACTCCCTATCATTCATCTGCCTTTTTTTCTGATCCCTTCAGTACATCTTATCGGAGGAAAAACACAAGACTAATGACATCTTATGTCACATGTGTTTAGAAAGGATAGCTGAACAAGCAGTGAGGTAGAGGAATAATATTGCCATCAAACTCTGGGTACTGTTGGCAAATGTCAAGGAACAGGCCTTAGGAGCTTCCTGATTGTGTTTACCTCTTGTCCCACAAAATCTAAGGTTGCATAGCCTGAATCCTTCAAATTATGGCTCCAGAAAGGAGATCTCCCCAAATCTTATTTCCTTACATCTCCCTCTTTCCAAATCTTATTTACATAGGAATATATAATAGTTATATAATTCATATTTTACACTATTACTATGCCTTTATACTTCTTTAAAATGGAAATATTCTTCCTATAAAGCTCAGTTTCATTATGTAACTCTAGGCTTGCCTCTACCTGTTTCAAGGGATGCTGTTGGTTTCATATGCCAGCAGATGGCAGGTTTGTGCAATCACTGTCACCCTGTAACATATCTCATTTTCCTGGCACTTAATCATGGCCTGCTGGATTAACTTTCTTAGGAGCCTCAGGTCATGTTTCTGATGTATTGAGCTGTATTTTTTTTTAAAAAAAAATCTAGGGGACATCAGGTGGTCTGCCATGTGATGCACTGAGTTGCCAGATAACTTGTCCTTTGTAAAGAATGTGTTTCTGAATAGAGAATAAATCTGTCTTTTCCCCAAAATTGCCTTTGCTTTGACATATGGAAAGCTAACTAGCTCCAAAGATCTCAGAATCTTCTAAAAAGCAAGAAAGAGAAGTAAATATATAAATAGGCCTGATTTTTGGAAGGCCATTTTTTAAAAAGATTCATGCTTGCATACACCTTTTTTTTTAATTTCTATACCTGTTCTGTTGCTTTCAGATTGGTTGAGCAGAGGATTTAATGACAGTCCAGAGGTCAGCGGACTTCCAAAAATGTGTGAGGAAGGGAGGCTAAATGTGGATCCAGCCAGTGAGAAGACCTGTGAAAAAGAAAAAAGACAAAGGAAGAGGAGAACGAAAAACCCAATCATTTTGTACTGGTTTTCCAAAAGTCCTTCATAAATGCTGAAAGGACTATCTCTTAGTGGAGAAGCAGCCAGTTGATACATTGCCTGCAAAGGTTTCAAAACATTAGCCTCATTTCATCTAAGGAACACAAATTCACTTATGTTTTAAATGAATGTTTATTTAAATGATTTTGGTTTTTTTCAGCCAAAAATGTGGGATGAAACTTGGCTCTGCCCATCCTCCTTTGTCTGGAGTAAATATATACAAATAAATGTATGCTATTAAATACAAAGCCAAAAAGAACAGTTCTAGCACACCCTGGATCATCTGGACTATATCAATGCAGGAGAGAATTTTGCAGGAATTGAAATTTGCCACTGGCCAAAGACTTGATTGAACAGAACAACAAATACCTGGAAACAACCTACCTGAATAGCCTCTTTTTTGAAACCTGCTAATATCTTTGTTTAGTGGCATAATTTAAATTGTCATTGAATTTCATGAGATAAGTGCTGTTAGACCCTGGAGGACATGCTCCGTACATGAATCACAGGGTGCCTACCCCTTTGTTTAGCCTACCAGTGTAATTTATTATTTAACTACTAGATTTATATCCTATGTTTGTTTTTTACAAGACAGTGCACATAAAGGTTTCACCTCAATCCTATGAGCTGGGTTAGCCCCAAGTCACCAGCTGGCTTCTGTACCTCAGAGACAATTAGAACTCAAAGCCTTCCAGTTTCTAACCCTAGCACCATAACCATTACTCCAATCTAACTCAGCGTATATGTATATATACCCTCCAATTATATTATTACATCACCCCCACAGCACCCACATAAATGAAAGAGATGCAATCCTCAAACCTGAAAAATTTAATCATTCCTACTTTAAGAGAAGCCTATTTTTTTATTAATAAACTACAAATACAGTTCATCAGTTATGCCTGGTTACTTCCTATTTCATTTTTTAAAAACAAACATATACAAACATATAATCACTGAGAAAGTAAGATGGCCTTTTTGACTATGGGTGATTTGAGAAGAAATGAAGCTCTCTCATCATAAGAGATGCCATAAATGATTAGTGACTAATGTTTAAAGACCTCACCTGGGTAGTAGAGACAGAGGAAGAGGAGGAGGATGGGATGGTGCCAGCAAAAGGTGAGCGGGTGAGCTGGGGGAGTGATGAGGCGCCTTGGTGAGCCAGAAGGTTAGAGGAGAGAGGAGTGCTGCACACAGTCCTCAGCATCCCACCCCCGTGAGAAATGGGATCCTTGTTACTGGTATAGATCCCTGTAAGAAAAATATTAATGTAGGGCTTGAGACAAAACAATCAATCATCAAAAAACACACACATACACAAAAAACCAACCTCTCCCACCCAAATATCCCACCATATTTGTTGTTAAGAGTTGACTTAGAGCTATTGTTTCATTTTCCTTCCTGTTTCTGTCTACATTTTTGCTTTACTCCTTCACCTTTGTGAAACAAATCCATCAGGACCTGCCAATGTTATTTCCAGCTTCTAGCACATGATCAGCTGAGATTAGACTCTTTCAAGGCATAAATAATTCCCATATTTATTTATAAAATACATTGACCACCCACCTTACCATGGGTTAATTCTGGGGGGCTTAAAATATTTAAAAAATAAAACCTAGATGATATGAATAAAATACTATAAAGATCCAATTACTGAGCCCTAACTAAAAAGATGGGGAGGGAGGAGAGAATAGGATAAGAAAGAGGGGAGGTGGCATCTGTTATGATTCTATCGGTCACTTCTAATGTTCCGTAGTTGGCTTATTGTGTATTTGGGACCTAAGAACAACATTGTATTGCCCTATGTAGCATTACTCCGTATAAATTTCTCTAAAATACAAATGCTGTTGTATTTCTCAGTTATCAAGGACTTTGTGATTTGACTTTTGATGTACAGACCCTTTTTCTTCTTCACTGTCTCTTCCCATTTTTTAAAAAAATTATTATGCCTTTTAGCAAATAAGCCTACTGAGTGTGATTGACTACAGTGATGAAGTGTTTCTGAAGCTGTTTGAATAATAGGTAGATACACATTACCACGATTTAGGATCATATTGCTTTTCAGATATTGCTGGAAAACATTCAGCATCTCTAACAATAGTATTGATCAGGTGCTATGGGAAAGTCGTATGATCTCCACTTAGTCCGTAGATTAACAAACTGACATTTAGGACAGTACTCACGACATCACTACCACAAATTATAACTCTTAATAATATGAAATATCAAATAAGATTGATAGTCTTGAGACTGAATGGAAACCCTCTTTTGCTTTTACCATTCCTAATTAGCTGTCTCTTTGATTAAGATCAGAACAAAATTATTCTGCAAGTATGAGTCAAAAATAAGATGTATATACTGCCGATTGACCATTCAAGATATCACTAAGAATGATGAACGTCTCCAGGTAGTTTTCCCAAATAAAGGAAAACGTGCAGTATAGGATGTGATTATTATTTGTACACACAATGTGTTATCACTAAAATCTAGCCTATTTTCTCCTTTGTTGCTGAGCTTTGTTGATGTGAATCATTCCATGACAAAATAATGCTATTCTGATGACTTCACCTTTTGCCACAAATTTGACTTCACATGGTTTATCAGCAAGACAATCCCATATTTTAAAATTAGAATACAGCAATTCATCTAGTGACCGTTCAAAATTACAATGGTGCCTAAAGAGTGACTTATGGCCATTTTTGACACTTATGACTGTTGTAGTGTCCCCATGATCACATGATCAAAATCTGGATGCTTGACAACTGGTTCATATTTATGATAGATGCAGTGTCCTGGGGTTACATGATCAACTTTGCGACCTTCTGACAAGCAAAGTCAATGGGGAAGCCAGATTCACTTAACACTTCAGTGGTGGGATTCAAATTTTTTTTACTACCGATTCTGTGGGCATGGCTTGGTGGGCATGGCTTGGAGGGCGTGGCAGGGGAAGGATACTGCAAAACCCCCATTTCCACCCCACCCCACCCCACTAACCAGCTCCTGTGCAGGGCACCAAAAGAAGACACAGCTGATCAGCTGGGACTTGGGAGGCAGAGAATAGATGGGTTTGGCAGGGCCAGTCAGAGGTGGGATTTTCCGGTTCTCTGACCTACTCAAAATTTCCACTACCAGTTCTCCAGAACTGGTCAGAACCTGCTGAATGCCACCTCTGCAACACTTCACTTACTATCTTAACAACTGCAGTGATTCACTTAACAACCATGGCCAGAAAACTCATAAAGTGGGGGGGGGGATTCATTTAACAACTGTCTTACTTAACAACATAAATTTGGGGCTTAGTTTTCCTAAGTCAAGAACTATCTGCATAGGAAACTGCCTTACAGCAAGGTCAGACCAGTTTCTCCAGCGATCTACAACTCTTCAGGATTTCAAAGTTTCTCCCAGTCCCACCTGGAGATGCCAGGAATGAGCCCTTTTGAATGAAAAGCACACACTGAGTTAAAAGGCCTTCCCTTCATCTTGGAAAAACTGGCTAAAATTCCATAGTCCATATGAGCTTTTTCTTTTTTTTTTAGCAAAGATGGGGAGAAGTATATATATACTAGCTTAATACCCGTACTTCACTATGAAACGATGTGGTTGGGCTTAATTTGGGGGGAGGAAAATAAGGGGAGGGGAGTCTGCCCCTGCCTATCAGGATCCATTGGTATTCATCTGGCTAGCATCCTGTCAGTGTGTGAGAGAATTGAGGGCTGTTTGGAAACTGAAACATTATTTGCTGTGTGAGCAAGAAGACAGCAAGGAGCCTGGGCATGGCTTAGCTCAACTGTTCTGTACTAAAACTGCTTGGTGCTGTGAAACTAAAACTGAATTTGAAACTCCTCTCCTCTGCTTGTTTTGCATTTAGAACAGATTTCTTTTCAGATGGAGAGGTGGAATAGAACTCCTTAGCACCAGAGCGTGTTAATAACAATATATAAAATACTAATGCTCTGATGGTCATTTCAAAAAATCTTTTCTGAGCACCTAGAAGCCAAGAGGAACACACGTGCCAAATTTCAAGTTTGTAGGCTTTATGGTTCTGGAGATTTTGTGATGATGCGTGAATGGTATTTTTTAAAAAATGCAACTTTTTTTTTTTAAAGTTGGTTTTTAAAAAAATCAGTAGATGTAATACAATTATTTGAGTTGTAAACTTCACAAAAGTTCTGGAAATTTCATGTTCATCTTTGAAATTGCATTTTCTGTATCTGTTTGCACTTTAATTAAAAATACTTATCATTTCAATAATACTGGTTACTTAGCAGCTTGAATAGCAGGGTTATTCAGACAGATACTGTATGTCTAATTTTGAGAAATTACACCTTAGGTTTGCTGCTTCTTTTTCAATGCTAAGAAGTAAGAACATTTTTTTCCGGCTATGGCCTGAAAGGTTAAAATTCAAGAAAGCTCTCTAAATTTTAAAACAATCTGAAATCAGTGATGGACTAATGAAAAAAAAAAGTTGGATGAGACAGAGGTTCTCCTGGTCAGACAAATAACAAATCAAAGAAATTCCAGATTTTCCATGTTTTTCTTCCACCATGGAATGCAATTTAAGAGTTCTTCTATCTTCTTAAGATGCTGTCGAGTTTTTGCAGATTTTGAGAAGCTGAACTATTAGTTCTTGGCAGGAGCACTTGTGGGGGTGGAAGAAATAATGGAATGGTGTGTGGCGATGGTGTGATCCAAATCACAAGCTGTATATACAAAAGGTTGAGTTTTGTATTTTGAGACACGCACCATCATTTTTTGGCTTATCCTAGGTACAACGGTGGGATTCAAAAAATTTTACCACCGGTTCTGTGGGCATGGTGTGGCTTGGTGGGTGTGGCTTGGTGGGCATGGTGGAGGAAGGATACTGTAAAATCTCCATTCCCTCTCCACTCCAGGGGAAGGTTACTGCAAAATCCCATTCCCTCCCCACCCCGCTAACTTGCTTTCCAGCTCCATTCTCCTTTGTTGCAGGGCAACAAAAGAAGACCCAGCCAATCAGTTGGGACTCAAGAGGCAGAGAATAGATGGGGGTGGGGCCAGTCAGACTACTGCCAGTTCTCCAGACTACTCAAAATTTCCACTACTGGTTCTCCAGAACTGGTCAGAACCTGCTGAATACCACCTCTGCCTAGGTATATATGGATATTTGCTTGATTTCTGCTCTTGGAAATGTGATCAAGACCATTTTACAGCCTCTTGTATGTAGCTGAGGGAGAGCAATTGCTCATTGGCAGAGATTCCTTCTTTAAAGCTCCCGTAATTCCTCCCCTCCAGCTAAAGTGCTCTGGGGGCCTTGCAATTTTTGTCTCCTCCCTGTTCCTCAGTTGCTCCAAAGGCAGTTTTTCCACCTCAAGGTATTGATTAAGATTGTTGAAAACTTTTTTCCTCATCATAAAAATAAATGAGGTTAAAAAATTAAAGGAGATTACTGTACTGGCCACTTTTTGTGTGGATGGTTCTAGATGGCTTAGTAAGAAGACGAAACCCAGCAGGGAAGTCCTGGGAAAAAGCTCCTTGGTGTACCCTATTTTTCTCAAATGAGGGAGACTAAGGCCTGAACATGCTTCTTTTCCATCATGATGAGTAGAAAAAGAAAATTGAGGAACAAGGTCAGAATCTACATGAAAGTGCCCTTAAATGCATCTGACAGCTTATCATTAAGCTCCCCCCCCCCTGTTCTTCTCTTTTTCTCTTCCCCCTCCCACTTTCTCCCACCCACCCACCCACCCACCTATCCATACATCTCTCTCACACCCTTCTAGAGCTTCATAAATTGCACCGGTACTAAAGTATAATCAGCTTCGATTTCTTTCCACTATATATCTCTCTAAAGCCAAACAATACAGGATAAACTCTATAATTCTGTCTAAAACTACTTTTCCCACAACTTTTATGGCTGTCGTACATTTTATCTGCCTACACTTCCAGGATCACATTTTAGTGATTATAAAAACAAATATATTTTTAAAAAAATAGATATAAAGGTTTTTTTAAATGATATCCCTTTACTAAGTATGTATGAAAAATATCTACAACTATTTATTTATTGGCTAAACTCCCCTGGATGTAGCCTTTCTTAAAAATGGCATAAAAGTACCTTTCAGAAAAAATAGGGACTAGCTCTTTCTAATTTATAAAAGTTGAGGATCTTATCTATGGTTCATTCATGGATACCAACTATACTTTTACTCCATCTTACAGACATCCATACTAAGAATTTGCTATCTAAAGAACTAAAGGCTGAGGTATGCATGGCTCCCATTTTCATTGAAAACTGAAAAAATGAGTTAGGCTGCAGCTGAAAAATTCAAATGTAATTTACCACCCTCTTTTTCCAATATTTTTTATTTATTTATTTAAATAAAAATAAAATATTGGAAAAAGAGGGTGGTAAATTTACCACCCTCTTTTTCCAATATATAGCTGTCTTCCTGTTCTACCTGCTCAATGTGGAAAGACAATGTTTGATTACAGAATGTTTAGGATAGGAAGAAGCTGTGATTAACTACATTCAAATCATATAAACTCCAAGTTGATTTCATACCTTCCAAAATAAAATTTCCTTTTCTCTAGCAGAAGGTTGGGGAAGCAGCCACCACTCTTGTCTTTTTTTTCTGTAAACCCTACATACAAAAAATCTTGAACACGGATGTTAAACCAGTGATAGCAGAAATAAGTAATTGCTCTCTTGGGCCCAGGAGCCAGGATAAAATGAGAATTTTATGTGTTGGCAGGGGATGCCTGAAGATAGTTCTGAATTGCAGCTTTCAGCATCCATACTATGAGCTCAAATATATAGGGATTATGTGAATTGGGGTTCCCTACAGACATAGCTTGCCACTGCCTCCTTCCTAGGAAACGTGACTGCTCCAAAGACACCCAGTTGGGTTTATGTTTAAGGCAGGACTAGAAATCATGGTCTCATGATTCTAATCTATGCCTTAACCATCACACCGAGACAGCTCTCTTATATATAGAATCATAACTTTATAGATTCAACCCATCCAGCAACAATTTTATGAAGGAAATAAACAAGGGTACTGGCTAAAAAGAAACCCAATTCCCGCATTTTTACTAGATTACTTACACTATGGAAGAGAGATCACTACATTCTCTTGTACCTTATGCCTATAGATTCAATCAACCATCCCAGTTATTATAACCCACCTGTTCAGGTATCTTAACTAAGATTGAGACTATTAATATTTCTTCTTAAGCACCTTCCACACCACCTTCTTTGCTCTGCCTGCTCAGATTTGAAATAACTCTCCATTAATATTCTGCCCATACAAATGGCTGCTGCCTACGCAGCAAACTATGCAGGGCATTAAAAAAGTAGAAAGAGGATGACAAGAATTTGGCAAGCAGAAAAGCATCTGCCCTATCCCCACTTTCATTTAAATGGATCCTGGCATTCTCATGGTATCTGTCTAATTAAGAGTGCAAGTTTGGATGCTACTTCAAATGCAATGTCCTGCATGCAACAAATAGGGTTTAAAAATAAGCCTTGGCCTACAGTTTCAGTCATCTGAGAACTTGAAGATTCTGCACTCAGAGATCAGTGTAATGTATGTCAAAAATCAGGACTGTGGTTGTCAGGCAGACTCACCAGACATAAAAAGCCTCCCTTTCTTTGAACACAATAGAGGGAGGGAAAAGAAGGGTGGGTGGGAAGAAATCTATTGCCAGAGGCTGAGATTATAGAAGGCTTGTGGTTTGTAACAACTCCGCCCTGAAAAATAATTACATCCTGAATTCTCTCTCCTTTTCTTCCTTGGCTCCTCCCCTGCCCTGAAGTAGAGAAATTAAAAGACTGCAGTCACTAGGAAACCAGAAAGATGCTAACGTCCAACTCTTCCCACCTCCCTTTTTCCTTCTTCTTCTTTCTTCTTTCTACTTACTGTGACCTGAATAGAAGTGTTTGAGAGCAAGCCAGATATCGGCAAAGCAGCTGCCAAGTAAGCGAGCCATAACATGCTCTGCCTTGGGGTTCTCTACTCTTAACCCTTTCTTGCAAAGTTCACAAGTAATTATCCTAAGAAAAAGTCCATTACCTGAATGATTTTTTTCCTCCTGTGTTGCTTTTTTTTTAGCTTCTCAAGGATCAAGAACACATGCAATTTCAACTTATGTAGAGATGCCAGAGAAGCAGAAGGCATTGCTTCAAAAAGATTAACAGCAGTCATATCAACTGGGCTGCAATCTTTATATAGGTGTACTTGGCAGCCAGACCACTGAGACAAAGGAAGAAATTGAGTGCATTGGATTTTGCTGTCTGGCTTCTTTCTAATGAGTTGTGCATGTTCAGATTCTACAAAAACAACAGAAAACTGGCAATGGAGCATAAATGAGGCTGCTTTTGAGAATCTTAGCTAATTTTTAAAAAAATAAAACTAGTACCAGCCAATTAATAAAAAGCTTTAAATAAATAATAACATCACATATAAATATATTTTATCCTACAGTGATACTTCAAAAGTATTATTAGGTAATCTTTTGAAATAGGATTATCATTTGAATGAGAAATTAGTCAGGTGTTTAAATCAATGAGATGATAAACAAGTGTTAGTGTGGGTGGTCTTGTCTGATTTAAAGAACAAAATTCTGGGTAATATATTCAGTATTTAAGTTTGATAGTCACAACACAAATGTGTGGAAGTATATCATGGCTTGAACAAAGGAGATTCCTGAGAACCTCTGAAAAACAATTGTTGATGTTCACCAGGTTAATACGGTTTTAAAGAGTGTGAAATCCAATAGTCCACAGATTATGTACAATGAAGGCTATTCAATGCCACATTCCCAAGAATCAACCAAGATCACATCAAAAAGAAAGTGTATAACAGCGGTTGCCAACAGATGGGCTGCGGCCCACTAGTGGTCTGCGAGAAAATTTTGATGGTCCGCAGAGAAATGTCACCCTCAGAGCACCCCCCAAAGCAATTAATCTAGGCTGCGTGGGAACACAAGGCTGTGCTGCACACATGGCCCATGGGAACCCACCCCACGCACTCACTCCTTACCTGGCAAACTTGCCTGCTAAGTTGCTTTTTTCCCCCGATCATCAGCTGTTCTGCTGTGCCAGGAGATTTAGATTAGCTAGAAAGCAGGAAATTGTTTCATTTCTTGCTTTCTAGCTAGTCTTTAGATCTTCAGCTCTGCTTTTAAGCAGAGCTGAACCTTCCTTAGGATTGAAGGTTCTATTATTCAGTGCAGACTCATGGCAAGCAAATTTTATGTGACAGACTCAGGTAGCCAATGGCAGATAGATAATTTCTGAATGATTCTGTGAGCAACTCCATCTGCCTGCCTGCTTTGCCTGATTTTAGGTAAAAGTTGCTTTTTTTATAAAAAAAATCAATATTTACATAAATATTTATATTTACATACAAGCCATGCCCAGCCAGTCACATGACCACCAAGCCACAGCCACAAATTAGGCCACGCCCACATAACAGATTGTTAAGAAATTTGAATACCACCCCTGGCTCCGTGTGTTTGTGTGTGTGTCTGTGTGTCTGTGTGTGTGTGTGTGTGAGAGAGAGAGAGAGAGAAACAGACAGACAGACAGACGGGGGGGGGGGAAGAGAGGTTAGATCAGATAGATCAGATTTCTCTCTCCCTTCCTCCCTCCCTCTCTCTCTCTCCCACCAACGTCAGTAAGCCACCGTCAGTCAAAATTCATATTAGTGGTCCCCATTATTTAAAATCATGAGTTTGGTGGTCCCTGAGGTCCAAAAGGTTGGCGAACCCTGGTATATAATACTTTGGGAAGCTTCAAACAAAGGTGTGCGTGACAGGGTTGCAAGGAGAAAATCACTATTCTTCAAAAAGAACCTTGTTCTCCATCTACAATTAGTAAAACCACATGAGTAATTCAGAGGATTGGAAGAAAATTCTATGCACCACTGACATCAAAGAAGAACTTTTTTGGCTTGAATTAAAATGGTCATGTTTGGCAGAAGAACCTTATCCAACTTGTGAAACATGGCTAATAGTTTGATATTAACTTCCTTTCATTAAAAAAAAATAGGCTGAGGCGACACTTTGTTTGCTTTTGGTGTGGATGGCTTCAAATATGGTGTGGTGTTGGGAAGTCAAGCAGAGCATTGTAGATATGGCAATGTACAGCATATTGTACACTTGGCTAACTTCTGTTCATCATCTCCTCCTGAGTTTTGTCAAGTGAGAAAAGCTGGGTGAACCTGAGGGATCTATAAACTGTGAAAATCTAAGGGATCTATACATTTCATTCAGATAAGATCCCTTCCCTTTTCAAGCTACTTCACACCAGTAATTGTGTTTGGAACACATCTTAGAATTATGTGATTGCCTAGCAAACAGATAGCCCTGATTAATAAGCCTAGAAACAAACAATCCAGGTTAGATGAGTTAATAGACATGAACAATAACCAATACAACTGAGGAACTTTGAAGAGTCAGATCTAGGAAAAAGGAAAAGCAGCACATCACAATTTATAAGACACAGATAATTCTTATTTCATGCATTGTGTGTATAAACTTGCTTTTTTCTATTATTTTCAGTATTCAAGGGGAATAGGGATATATGATTGTGACATCATGGGCTACGGCAAGTTTCCCTCAGTTTTAGAGGTGTGATGGAGTTACAAGAACAGTAAGTGATACCGAAAGCACAGCAGTGTCTGGGAAATTACAAACCAATTAAGAAACTAAGATGATTTTGTGCTGGCAGAAACATAGCACTCCTGAGATTAAATCACTATTTGCTAGATTCATATAATAATTTGAGCTACAAATTGAGTTTTAAAAAGCTGGGTTCACACGTGAGCCAAGGCTGAACAACCACATTATGGATTAACATATTTTCCCAATCATCTTGCTTTTAATAAGAGTTTCTCAAACCAGGGTCAACCTGGAGGAGGAAAAAAAATCCTAGTAAATATATCATTGCATCATCTCTTATCTCATCAAACAAGTCCTTGAATCAACCAAAACATGTAGCAACCTGGCCAGAGGCCACAGGAGGAGCATGTTACCTACCTGATCCCATAAGTGGTGATTCTAGACTGAGGCTCGGAAGGGTGGATCCATGGCTGAATGAACGTGAAGACCCACTGATGCTGGAGCTGGCCAGGGATCCCCCAGAGAAAGGCAAAGAAGAGGCAGCTGGAGTCCCAGCCAGTTGGGTACCGGGCACTTCTTTATTCTTGCTACCCTTGGGCCTTCCTGGTCCATGCTTGCTTTTCTTATTGGCCTTGTGCTTTTTTTCTTTCAGGACTTCTACTTCTTCCCCACTAAGAGATGGCATGCGCTTGTGGCTGCTGCCACTGCTGACTCCACCACTCCCACTTGGGGTGCCACCAATAGAGTTGGAGGTCTTGTAGTCCACAGGGGAAGCATCCCGTCCCCTCTGCTGACTCACGGCTGAGGTGGAGAAACGCATGATGGAGCCAAAACCTGAAAAGATCACCTTCTGCTCAAAGACATCACTCTTCTGCCCTTCAGACAATGGAGAGCAGTGAGCGGAAGACGAGGATGAAGAGATAGGCTTGTGGTATTTCTCCTCCTCAGGCTGCTGCTGTTCAAGCTTTGGAAAGGTTACAAAATCCTGGGAGAAGGGCAAGGAGCTGCATGAGGTACCTGAAAGAGGACCAAGCAGAATCCTGAAATCTACAGCAAGCTGACAGGAGATGTTTTAGCTGCACCTCTCACATGTATCTCATCTTGCACTTTATAAAGTAAAAGATGGCAAACAGCTCCCTGTCTGCTCATCACAATTAAATCAATTAAAAGTTACAATTAAAAGATTGAAACTACCTAATTCCTCATTACATTACTAAACTAAAAATTAGCTTTTGTAAAGTAATTGCACGCATTTGCATTCATGGGCCTTGTCACCCTTATCTCCATTATGTATAATAAATAAACTGTTATCTTGAAGTGATCTAATAATATATTTGGCCACATTTTACTATTTACGTACAGGCAATCCTCATTTAGTGGCCGTTTGCAGTTACAACAGTGATGAAAAAGTAATCTCTGGATCTTTGTATTTATATGACTTTTGTGGGTCTATAAAGCAAAAGAAAACTGAACTAAGATTATAAGCATGGTTACAGTTTCATTTAATGATTGCTTCATTGAACGACTGAGTTGCTAATCCCTAAACAAGGATTACTTGTAGTAGATATAGAAAATGTTTGGGATTAGTGGGAAATGTTAGATGTGGGTCTTACTATACCATTTTTATGGTATCAAACTAAATGTATATACTATGTCAGTTAAATATTATCTTATTCTAGGTTCACCATGAGGAGGAATAATTGGACTTTTAAATGCACATTGCATTTTTGTTGCATATAATATGATATATTGTAATATGTACCATATTAGTCTTAGCCTTAGTTACTTAATTAAATTACTAATGCTGCTACTACTTATATAACACTTATTATCTCTGTTTCATAGATAAAGAGAGAGCAATAATCACTTGCCTAAAGCCACTAATTAGAGCAATGGATCTTGATCCACACTATCAATACACTATCAATGGTCAAATAAAGGAGACTGGCAATCAAGGACCCAATTGTCTAAATAAATGAAAAAAAGTCAAATACAGTTGAATTACATAATTGATACAGGTTGTATTTCCTTTTCTTGTATCATCCGTCTGTATTCTGATAGTCATCAGAGATAGGAAAAAACTTTGCAAGATATAGAAATCTGATTATCCACTGATCAGCTCTACTTCGTTCATTTGAATATATGAAAATTTACTGGGACTACCAACAATCCCTGAAAGCCTAACTTTGTATCTGTAAGAGTTAGAACATTTGGGAGGGAAAAAAAAGAAAACTTGCTTGGACTTACTTCTGGTCAATATACAGCAGGAAGAGAATTAATAACAGGCCTCCTCCTTAAGAGAAGCCAAGGGTACTGTAAAATAGTAAAGATTTATCTACCATTCAGAAGACTTGCCCACTTACCATTCAATAAATCCTGTCTAATTCAGCATGTTAGTCTAATACCTCCCCTTCCCATTTTTCCTATTTCTTTCTGTTCTTCACCTGCTGGTGGAAATGTTACACTGGATGAGGATGAGCCAAAACCTATTGAACTTTTCCCACTTCCAGACTTCTTGGTTTTGTGGCTTGTGCCATGGCTTGAAGATCTTTTGCCTTTCACCTCCGACCTGGTGATCTCTGAGGATTCTTTACTGCTCTCGTGGTGGTTGGTGGAACTCTGCTGAAATATGAACAAATAGGGGAATTAGGAGGTTGTGTGTTGAAGGTTTCTTTCACATCCGTTACTGCATGGCCTATTTTATATTTCAAAAATATTTACTCAGAAGGTCTAAAAAGAGGCAATGATCTGCATCACCAAAAGATAGAAATTGTTTCTCATTCTGGATCCTGGCTGAAAAATATGTTTTTCTCCATGGATGCATATATTTTAAAACTCAAATTAGGACCTGCCAGAAAAAGGCATGTTAGCCTTTGCTTAAAATGAGTCCATCGTTATCTGAAGCATTTCACCCCACTGTCATAAAGCTCTTACTTTTGGCCAAATATTCCTAGTGCCAAGTCCAGATGCATTTTTGAATGTTGCCAAGAATCACCTTAATAAGATGGAAAGGGTTTTTTTTTTAATATTAATGGCTTTAAAAAATAAATCTTATCATTTGAACCCTATGGATTCAATTCCATAAAAATAAAATTTATTCCACAGAAGCATTTAGAAATTCTCAGAATTTTAATATCAAATAATCTGGAGGATGCCATTGTGAAGTTAAGAGATGATGAATTTAAACAAGGTTAATAATACATAGCCTTATAATAATCATTTACAAAAAAACAAAACACTCATACAACAATCTCTTTTTCTCTTTCAAATTTATATAGTATAACCATATCAACTGCAGATAAAATAACATTAAAATTAACCCTATAATCATCCAGAAGCAGCATAAATCAAGCGTATTTATAGGATTTGCCTACAAATATGTAAATACACCCGGCAGGTTGAAAAACTGAAAAGAAGAATAAGTTCTCCAATCTGTTTTTAACATGTTATATATGTTTCATGTTTTTTCTTTCTGTTTTCCTCCCTCCCTAAAACTGGTCTCTGAAAGATTTCTCACCTGTATCAGACGGTATCTTCAAGCAAAACTTCTAAATTATCTTATTCCTATATGGTTAATGCAATTAATATTTTATGTTTAATATTTTATGTCCATGTTCCCATGTCCTTGGGCATTTTTTATTTCTTTTAAGCAAAAATTCAAACAATCAAACTTTTCTCTCCCTATTTTATTTTTGAGCTGCTGCTCAAGCACCCATATCAGCATTAATGTAAAATTATATAATACTGAATTGCCAGGGAAACTTGGATTTTACTGTTCCAGAGGTTATAACCAATACAAACATTGTTTTACTATTCCTTCAGGATTATTTCAGTAGTTCCTATTCAAGTTTCCTAATTGAATAAGGGATCATACTTCATAATATTTTTCTAGATCATTTTACCCTCACACATTTTGTGATATACAACTGGGAGCAATTTATCAGCTGATTTACAAACGGTTTTGCAGCTCTCCAAGCAAACAACAACGTTTGCAAAAACTCGGAGAAGAAGCTTTAAAAGGACTCCATGAAACAATGAATGACAGTAAGGAGGAAGGTGGAAGACCCATAGTAAAGCCAAAAGTACACCTTAGGTGCTCTGCAACAGATATTGCAATTATACATTAAAATGAGAGATAATCCTGCATGGGTAATTTACTTGGGTGATATCATTTTGAGGAGACAATCTCTCTCATTCCGCTCTCTATATATTACACTAATTGTGTACAATCATATTATTAATTGAATAAAAATTTACTGAATTTTCTCTATCATGTCATTTTCTATGCAATCAGTTCTGTGCTATATGCATCCCAGATGAGTACATGAAAAGCAGAGCTTGAAAATCCTGAAGTTCTATAAATTTCTCCAAGAATATAACTCTTTGGATGAATACAGATAGTCCTTGACGTACAACCGTTTGTTTAATAACTGTTCACAGTTACAACAACACTGAAAAAAGTAACCTATGACCAGTTCTAACACTTATGACAGTTGTAGTATGTCCCAAAGTCACAAGATCAAGTTTCAGGTGCATGGCAACTGGCATGTATTTACGACTGTTGCAGAGTCCTGGAATCTTGGGATTATAATTTGCAACCTTCCTAGGGAGTTTCTCACAAAGTCAGTGGGGGAAGCCAGATTGCTTAACAATCACATGATTAATTCAGCAACTGTACTGATTTGTTTAACCACCATGACAAAAATGATTGTAAAATGGGACATGATTCACTTAATAACTGTCTTGCTTAGCAATGGAAATTTTGACTTTAATTGTGGTCATAAATTGAGGACTACCTGCAATCGACTGAGTTGATTTATAAATTCAGTTGGATCTGTAACAATCTCTTTGAGTCTTCACATCTGCTAAACATTGTAGAGGCCAATAGAATGGAAGGTAATGCAAGTATTCCTCAAAGAAGTGAAAACAAAGCAAAAACAAAAAAAACAACCTATCATCGCTCATCATCCATACATCAAGCTAATTCAGAAAACTGACCTTATTAATCACTCCCTTTCAGAGAGAAACACTGAGGGTTTCCTCCTTATCAGTACCTCTCTGCTAGTGTATATTGGACGCTACTTACAATACATGCAAAGTTATAGGAATGCAGAGAGGCACATGTTGCGGGTGGAAATAACTCAGAAACCACATCAAAGACCTTTTAAAATCCATAATGCCAAAAGATGACTGAAATAATAGTAATGTATTAATGCTGGGCCAAAATGTGACTCCAAAATGAACCTTAAATGGAAAATTCATTAAATTTTCAAACAGCCAACAGAAAGACCCAGATGTTTTCAGAGATTACTGGTGAGAAGCTCAGACTTTTCCATTAAAGTTCAAACATAACAACCAGTTTAGGAAGTAAACTGTTTGTCATTCTTCTCAGGGGTGTCCTTTTTACATGGCTTCAATGGCAATTGCAATTGCCTGTAAATTTTATCATTTAAACTAAATCAGGAGCTTTAGTTTTCCAACTTGCTTTACCATTACAAGGTCTTTTCCTGCCATGAATTTAGCTGCCAAACTCATATAATTTCATTGGCTCAGAGTGGGTGCTCTAAAGTGGGAAGTGGGGGAGTGCAGAGTCTGGCCTTCAGATGCAACTAAACTATCATTCCCAGCAGTGTAGCAAGCATAATCAATAGTGAGGATAGTAGTCAATTCTGGAGGACCAGAAGTTTCTCCTTCTCTTCTATTTAAATCTTTTTCAGTTCAATCAAGTATTTTGTGTTTATGGCAAACACTTTTCATTTAGGCATTATTAAGCTTCTTTCTTCATCCTTTCTGGTTGCTTCTTTCTTTTGCTGTCAGATCCCCTCCTAATAGCTGTTGCATTTGCCTACATTACTGCACTACTGTCAATGCCTCTATCTTAAAATATTGTGGCATAGATTTAATTCCACCAGCCTGTTCCAGCTGCCAGCTCCAGTCAGACAGGCTCCCAGCCATTTGGATTTTGGCCAATCTATTAGATGTATGATAGCAACTGGAATAACTTCAGTGGAGCAAAAGACAGCCAGCCACTAGTAGGGTTTTGCTTTTTGCTTCAACCCTTTGGAAATATGATTGTTCTCCCTCTGAATTTTTTTGAGCTCTTCATCATCAACTCTCTAGAGTTGCAAAATCAACAATACTCAGAGAGTAAATAAATACACCCTTAGAGTATGAATACAGATGTAGAAACATCAACCACACTCAATAAATGTAAACCAGCATATGCTAGCCCTTGAGGGAAAATTATACCCTGAGTCAATCTCTTCTCAATACTCCTGCATATCCTTTCCTGTGAGGCAAGAGGATCTTCTCTTGTGAAATGTGTTGCATTTAAGGAGTGACCTGAACTGGAGAAAGTAAAAGTAGGGAGGGGAGAGTGCACAAAATCCACTGAAGGCAGAACTGTCCACCATGGTTTAGATTAGGTCTCCTGAGAGCAAGAGCAGGAAGAGAGAACAACGAACAATCTGAGTCAGACAAGAGTGCCCTCATTCAAACAGAGATGCCATGGAACAACTTGTGAAGGCAAGAATTGGCAGAGAAGAATGAAAAGCCTAGAGCAGGGGTGTCAAACTCGCGTCGTCATGGTGGCGTCATGTGATACATCGGGACTTTTTTCCCCTTTTCTAAACGGGGCAGGGGCTTGGCCAGCACGCAACGCATCTAGCCTGTGGGCCAGGAGTTGGCCCAGAGAGACAAAGATTCAGAATGTTTGTCCATATTTCTGGAATAAAGCTTCATCCGCTATCCTACAGCCAATGTGGAGATTATATAGTAGACAAAATGTAGCACTAACACAACGGGAAATTCCACACCAAACCCAGAAAACAAATTATAGAATCTTCTTAAAGTAATCAATCTATTGTGCATTTTCCTGTTTCAAGGCATGTATGTACTGTACAGTATGTATACTGTAGATGACTGAATATGCCTCCAAGTAGCCTAGCCATAATGATTCCCATGCATCCATAATTTTAAAATATAATGTAGGTATAATAAAACTGGCCTGGACCTTTAATGTAGGTATTCTGGAAACTGTAGCCAGTGCAGAGGTTTGCAATTCACCTCCTAAAGGAAGTAATTTATCAGGAACAAATTGCATCTATTTACTACCAAGCTAAGTATTAGTTTTGCTTAGAGATGATCAGAACTCTGGTAGCTGTCAGAACTGAAAGTATTTCCCCCCTCAGGAACAAATCTACCAAAGTTCTCTTTAACAACTTTATATTAGGGTGAAAACAGTCGCAATACAAAAATTCTACCAAGTGAACTATTTCCAGTTTAAAACTGACATGTAACTATATATATAGCAGCAGGGGTGGGCTGCTATCGGTTTGCCCCAGTTCAATCCCACCCCTGGCTGGCCCCACCCGCCTCTCCCCTCTCTGGGGTCTCCGTTTGGATGCCAGGTAAGTGCAGAGACTCAGGGAGGGTGAAAAATGGGCCTCCTGGAAGCTCGTTTCCAGCCTCCAAAGGCTGGGGGAGGGCGAAAACAACCCCCCATGTGGTGCAGGAGGCCGACTAGGCCACACCCACCATGACCACACCCAGACAGCAACCTGGCAGAAAACTGTTGCTGATATTTTTGAAGCTCACCCCTAAATAGCAGAGCAGACACTTTT